TTTTATTGTTACAAAATCACTTTACACAATTTCAATCTCAAGTTTGTCAAAGCTGGTTGCAAAACATGAGAAATGAAAAATAATTAAGACTGCTTGCATGAAAGTTTTTGTCTCCAAAAATTCTGTCTGCCTTCTAAAGTCTATGAGAATTTTTCATTGTAAATTTTAAAAAATGCTAATTTTTCTAAATTAAAATTTCATTCATTTGAAGCTATGAAAAAAAAACAAAGCGTCTAATTAAAAATAGCACGAAATATATAAGTATTTGCCAAAAGTTGTTTACCAATCTATTCACAGTCGAAAATTTTTTTTGTAGCTCAAAACCTCAACAGTTTTCATAACAAACTCTGCTCGAAAGTGGCAAGATAAAACTTCAATGTTACTGTGAGGAAAGAAACACGGAACGCAATCATTTACTTTTTGGTCGAAAGTCGGAACAAAAAACATCGAGCTTAAATGTTACATGATGATAAGCACTTATGTTAGCTCAATGCTACTCCCCCAAAAATTAGGACGACCTCTGTGGTTTTTTCAAACTAATTCAGAATTTCCACAGTCGAAATTGATCATATCAATTTAATTTTTATTTTCTAAATTGCATAAAAAACCACGAACATTGTCACTGCTTTTGAGAAGACCTATAGTTTTGTTAAACATATCGATAAGTTTTCAAAAACAAAGATTAGAAAATAAAATTAATGAATTTTTTGCTTATGTAGAAATTATAAAAGAGCTAAAAATTGAAGGTGAAAAAAAAACTATTTAATTTTGAGCGCAAGACAGATAATTTTCAAGATAATTTTTCATTTTTTCAAAAAAATGTTTTTGTCGATTTTGATCTGTCACTGCTTCAAATGTCAAACAACAGCAAAAAAAATCTCTGAATTAGTAACTCTGCATAGTTTGTAGCTGGTAAAACATTTTCGTACAATTTCTATCAATTTATTTAACCCCCTTTCCCGAGTCAAGGCTGTTCAAAATCAATACTGTGAAATCGTTTTTTTGGGGTTTCAATTGGAAAGTTTCAGAAAAAGCATAACTTATGATTCTCGACCAGGTATGCACTAATGCTTTCCTTACTTAGAATGCTACGCACTAATCGCACTAATGGTCCACCGCATTTTGATCACCTCCCATACCTATAGTCTTAAGCAGTTCATGAGTTCATCAATATAGAAATCTGCATCCTGACTGATCTAACTAAGCGATAGTAGCAAAAAAAAACGTTTTTAACATACTTTTTGAAATATTGGAAAGAAAAGCCTTAATTTTTGGCTTTGCATGCCGTGGAAAGTGGTTACAAGAAAAAAACTATCCATCTGAAACTTTAATTTTTTAAACTTAGGCCTCTAGCTTGCTGCTATGACAAGAAAATCTGGACATAAAAATGAGTGCATTCCAAAACGTGTCATAGATTGTATACTTTTGGATTTTTTTTTCATTTTTTCTTCATTTTGCTAAAAAAATATATATATCCGAAATCGATTTCTAAGTCAATGTTTTTACTCAGAGCTATTTTAAAGACCTATCAGGAAAAAAGCCACAGAATTCAATCGATTGTTTTCCAGCGTCTGTCAATCAACATTTTCGCGTTGAAGCATAGAACAACTTGGCTTGACTAAAATTTTTATAACAAAATTTTCATTGATGGGTTTTTGAGATCTCCAAGCTCTGACTTGTAAAATTCATCTGCGATTTAAAAGTCAATTTAAGGCCTCTACTGAAAGGCATTTCAAGTTATCACAAAATTGTTTGTTTTGATTTATTACAGCTTAGGAAAACTTCCGAATCTTAGTATTTCCTGTTCCTGTCAATTTTGATTGGTTAAAACTTAGGATGGAAAAATTATGAGTAAAATTTCAAGCACAGAATGCAGCAAAAAATTCATTCCTCTATTGTATTCTATATCAAGTTTCGTATTGTAAATGTTTCACTCTTTTTCAAGTGGAAATTTATGAATTTCTAAGAAAGAAAATTATACGGATAAACAGTGTAGCCTACAACTCTCTTCGACGAATATCTTTATTTACTTCAAAGTTGCCCTGTTCAAGACAAAATTGCTTTTGTAAATCTTTTCGGTTGTGATTATAATTTAAGTGTCAACAATCAGAGTTGGAATCAGTCTATGATACTTGATATCAATTGGACCCATGCGGGGTCCAGCACTCTTCCAGACTTTCTGTGCAAGTAATAGAGCGCGACTAAAAATATTAGCAATAGGTAAAAAGTTATAAAAAGCTGCCATTAGAAAACATATTTTTCACAACCTCTAAAAATTAACCATTTTGAGTCTTATATTTCACTTAGATATTCTTGCGCATCTCATAAACAATTCCTCAGATCGTTCTTAAACATGCGCGGATCTATAATTTTCTCGAGGAAGGGGAGGTTTTTCACAAAACTTGCAATTTTGTCGAAAAAGGTCGACAAAAAACTTTGTCGACCTTAATTTTAGGTTTTTTAGGTCGAAAAAATTGATTTTCCAAGCTCTTCCAAACATGTAAAAAGACTCTGTTTTGGCTAAATTTTTTGCGCCATTGCCAAAAATTTGAAAAAATAGGCCAATAAAAGTGTTTTCAGCCATTTTTTTAAAAAAGTTTTGAGCAAAATATTGCGTTTTTTTGGCGCGCGCTCTGCCCTCAAAATTGGTATATATTGGCGCCAAAGGCGCTTTTTAGAAAGTTTTTTGCATCCGTCACCATATATGGATATCTCAAAATAGTACAAAAGAGGACCCTTTAGGTCGGCAGGGGGTCGAATCTCTAAGGGGAGGGGGCGTCCCTCCTAAATCCGCCCTGTTCTTAAACATATTTGTTCTTAATGGTTTTCATTGGTAAGTGTGCCGTCTAAGTGATCTTCTACGCAAAAATTGTCAAAAAAAAATTTACGGAATTTTTTTTTTCAAAAATAAAATTCAACTTTCTTTATCAGAAAAAGTCCGAGCATTTTTTTGACCGTCAAAGGAAATTACGGAAAATTCGTGCTCGAGGTAATTTTATCCACACAACTTCGACTTTCAAACAAGCCCACTTTGACAATATTTCAAGTATTATCTTTAAGCTAATGACATCTTGAGCTCGAATTTTTTTTTAGAAAAACTCATTATGCATGCTATTATTTTGCAAAAATTTGGGGGTTCAAAAAATGATTACCCGGCCAACTTGTAATAAATAAAGGATGATACACTTCGTCATTTTAAAGCGTAAGCGGCTAATTAAGTCCGATTCCGTTACTGTTTTTTTTGTTTTTTGTCGGACAATGGCCAATTAAATTTTCCAATCCTTTTAGGGGCATTACGTAGATATTCTGATCAGTACTTAACATAATACTTTTTTCGTGGTAAAATTCATATTAAAAAAAACTAAATTTGACGGATTTTTTTTAAAGTGTTTTTGACATTCAAAGATTTTGTCTTTTTTAATAGTTTTTATAGCTAAACTCTAGCTTGTTTTTAGCGAATTTTCAAACAGAGGATTGCTAAAATTACGTTATTTTAAGGCGAGTATTGCACATTTAAAAAAAAATAGATTAATTTTAATCGAAAACTGAAAAAAGTTGTTGGTGTCGACAATCAGATGTTTCCGCCGTAATCAAACTTAATCTTGCAACCATTGAAAATTGAAAACGTGGGTAGACTTTTTCTAGTGTGTATTAGTTTTAACCACGCTTAAAAGTTCCAAAAAAAAAATTCTCAATGTCAAAAAAAAATGGTTTGAATTTTTTGATTTTGACTCTAATTTCAATTGTATAAAGCAAACAAGCAGACTTATACTACTGTAATTCTTAAATTTCAAGTTACGCCATGAAACCTTAGTCTTACTCTAGCTAAATTAGTTTTCGAATGTCTATTGTTCTTGTTGTTCAGACTTTCGTTACGAAAGTAGCGGAATATTTATGCTCGGGGTGAGTTTTTTTTCTTCAGACAGACTTTTTAATTAGCCATTTTTGACAATATCTTTTACTTGTGGTTATTTTTTATAAAACTATAGGGGTTTAAACATTGTCATTTTGGCCAACTTGGGACAATTAACACGCGATATGTTTCGCGTATTAACGCGTAAGCTGAGATTTAGTCCATCTTAGAAATCATTACAAGTTGGATGAAAGAAACTTATTTCTCGTAATTGATTTGTTAAAATGAGCGAAACCTATCCTTTTGTTTTTTAAATGGTGTGTGGGGGGACTATTTAAAAAAAAAAATCATATTTTAGAAAAAAAAGATTGTTTCATTTTGTTTTTTACCTTTAATTTTTTTATACTGTTTTTGCTGCTCCATAGACTTTAAGAGGCACTCGAAACATTCAAGGCTTCGCCCAATTACGAGCAGTAATGTTTTAATTGTGCCTTGGGAGAAAGTTAAATTTTGCAAACTTCGCTCCATTTCTATATTTTATACAACATCAGTTCCAAGATTTTACAAAACGTTCCAAGATCCAAAACATACAAAACGTTCCAGTTTCAAAACGTTCCAAGATTTCACAATCCGAGCTTCAGGTCAGAAAATTGCAAAGTCTTGCATGATTCATGCAAGATGTTTCAACGTTTCCGAATTTTCGCTTAGATGATATAAGTGAATTTTAAAAATTTTTGTTAATTGTTGCAAAAAATATTAGATTCTTGCAAAACATTGATGATCACTATAACCCGGCAGGTCATTCTAAAACAAGAAAAAGTTTAGAAAAAATTCTGGAAGCTCAACGTTAAGGCACTGAAGTTTTTTCTGCAGAAAATGATAAAAATTTACAAGATTAAGAAACCCGCCGATATGATTTGGGGAACAAAATTAGCTAAAGGTTGAAAACGTCGCTGTCTAAGACTATAATTTTTCAAAAACTAAATGCTTAATTTAGATAATACGATAAATTCTTAATTTAGTATATAATAGAAATCACAAAATCAAACCTGTAAAAATTTAAAGTTCTAATGTGTTTTCGACATTTCAAAGCTTGTTTATACTGAGAAATCATCGTAAAACATGCTGTAAGTGTTGTTTGACTTACCAGTTTAAATGGAAATTCTATAACTGTAATGTTGTCCAGTTTTCTCTCCAGCGGCGAAACTAACAGTAAAATTGTGGGAGCACCGGAGAATAATAAACAGAGTGAGTTGAGCCAGTTAAAATTACTAAGTAAGCTATGTGGAAGTGAAGGAGAAAAATAAAAATCGATCGATTCGTTGGTTGTAAGTAGGTTTAACTAAAGCACCAAGTACCTATAATTTTTGCTATATGGTATTTGTAGTGAAGCGTAGTTAGTAACTAGCCCTTATATTTGGTATGTCAAAACCTTGGAACGTAAGTGCAAGTCGGATCGGGGATCTGTCAAAAGCGTTGATATTTCTATGTTTCTCTCTTAGCTAAATAAGGGCTATGCCTTGTATGCTTCTCTATGGTGTGTTATGAGGAGTAAGGGGTTGTATGACCAGCAGATAAACGGGATAAAATTTCACCTTTTACCAATTTGGATTACTAGTTCGATCGGCGCTTTGCAACGATTTGACTGTAGGATCTCTGGTGGATTTTGAGCTTGTGTTTTCTATTATTATATTGTCGCCTTGTGCCTTAGAGCATTTTATCCCTGCTCGATATTTTTTACTTTTCTACTTTGCTGACTAGGAAAGGGAAGGGAAACAAAAATGAGGAAGAAAAGACTAATAAAAATGCGCTCTATCTTCCTCCCCTCTCCCCAATTCTATCGAAGGCTGTCAGGCCGAAAAACAATTAGGACGACAATTAATCCAAAGTATACCTTACAACATTGATTGAATCGGTTCATATGTTATTGTTCTAAACAAAAAAAAACGTGTTTACTGCGATGTCGAATCTCGAGCGATACTTGAACTATTAATTTAAAAAGAGAATGGTTTAAAGTTAGTTTTTTGTTTTTCAAACAAAAAAAGGGTTTTATTCGGTATATTTTTATTCAGTTAGGAGAAAGCTATTAGGAACAAGCGAGTGTCGATAGCCGTTGTTGAATGACATTAATTATAAGGTACTTCTTTTTGCTTCCCAAAAACGAGAAATAAAACATTAGACTGCATATGGATGTCAAAATCATTTTACGAAAATCAACGACAGTTTTATTTTGAGATCTTCTTGTCTGTAAGAATTTTTCACTTCGACTCTAGACATGACAGACATGACAAGTTTTTTGAGCCCTTGTCCTTTTTTTTAATTTGTCGTCTCTTACACTGTCGATGTGTATTTCCTTCGGCTCAGGGGCAGGCATCTTATTCCACGCGTGGAATTATTTTTCATTTTTTAAAAGATGAAATTACTCTTTTCCTTTACTAGCTCAGTTTAACTTGAAGCCATCACCACCACACATTTTTGTACTTCACCGTTGTGTTACACTGACTTGAAAATATTAAAAAACGGATACTATATCGAAAAAATTCTTCGCAGCCTGAAAAAAAAGACAAATCCTCACTTGTTCAACGCGTGAGTGTTTCTGCGCATGTGTCTTTGTGTGATCAAATATTTCGTGCACGCTTTTATTTTGGGAATATAGGAACAAATTGGCACATTTTCAACTAGCAATATGAGGAAAAGGGAGCAAATTAAGACAATACGATGGGCGAACGACCTGCTTGCTGTAGCAGGTTGTATGCGATAATCGCATTCCGGTATGGGGTATCTTTTGACGCCCGTTTCCAAAGATAAATGAAAAAGTGAAATGAAAAAAAGATTGGGACAAAAAGGGTCCGATATTTTTCCACTGCAAGTTCGATCCAAATCAAGAGGTTGACTCTGTTTTTGTTTTTATAGCAATTCAGTTAATACACTAACAATGGAAAGGATTATAGTATCGAATCTCTCTCGCTTTCTGAATTAGACAAATAATTGCGAGGTCCCTTGCGGAAAAAAAAGCATTAACTTGTGGATATTCTACCTATAATGGAGCACTTGAACCACGGAATATTTCATGGAAAACTTCCACTATTTATATCCGCACTTTAAACGCTTCATTTCTTTTTCTTTTGTATAATGTTCCAAGTCCTCGAGTTTGGCACTAATAAACGAAAAAACTATTGATGGAGAAAAATTGTGCCAACTGCAGTCGATATACCCGTACCTTACAAAAACTTGGAAACCAGATCTGAGCATCGTAAAATCTTGCCTATTTCAGATCTTGTCCAGACATGGTGCATGTTTCGTTTGGACATGGACATGTCTGAATCAGGACTGAGGCAGGCATGGATTCCATCACAAAAGCAGATCTGCTCAAGGCCTGATTCAGACCTGGGCACACATGGGTCAGACCTGGTGCAGATCTGCAGCAGGTCTGACCCATGTGTGCCCCAGGTCTGAATCAGGCCTTGAGCAGATCTGCTTTTGTGATGGAATCCATGCCTGCCTCAGTCCTGATTCAGACATGTCCATGTCCAAACGAAACATGCACCATGTCTGGACAAGATCTGAAATAGGCAAGATTTTACGATGCTCAGATCTGGTTTCCAAGTTTTTGTTGGATAGATTTCCACTCACTAAAACTTCAAAAAGACTCCGGGGTAGATCGATTCAAGGGTCTAAAAACAGTTTTGATCAATTTTTTTTTGCAAACAAGGCAAAAAAACAAGCTGTTTAAAAGATTTATTGAAATGTTTTATTTTCAATATTTTAACTAAAACACTTGCTAGATGTTGAAGAACAAGAAAATGAACCACATAATTGGGCTCTTTTCCACTAAATACTAGATCTAAATAAGGACGTGATTTTAAACGAGTTTTAGTGTTATTTGATAAAATAACTATTTTTAATGAAAAAAACAAGACACGTGACAAAAGTTCAGAACTCATTCGAAAATTTCAAAAAAAAATTTCAGATCTGATCATGTCTGATGCAGTTCAGGACAGACATGCAATCTCACAACAAATGGATTCAACCTGGGCATATCTGTATTTTTATTTTATTTCCGTAACATTAAAATTGTTGTATCTTCCAGGTCTGAACATGTCTGATACAGTTCAGGGCAGATATGCAATCTCACAACAACAAATGGATTAACCCTGGGCATATCTGTATTTTTCTTTTATTTCTGTACGGGTATTTACACTGTATGCCCAATTTCATGCATAACGAGACGACAAAAATTAACACATAAATGCTAAAACAAACTAATCGGCATGAAGGGCTATTGTAGTTTTGATAATGTTTCTTCTTCAATTTGTCTTTTATTTTCTTCGTGCTACAGGGAGAGGAAAAACTCTGTCTGGGACACTGTTGACGCTTAAATTTTTTTAAGTAATCAACTTGAACAACAGAAACATTTTTTTTCTAAATTTTCTAACTTCTTCATTTTCGTTTTATTTTCACTTTTGGTGCTTCTAAAGCGCTGGCTTTGGTCGCCTCGTTAGACCACAAACAAAAAAGCTACAAAAAAGCTACAAAACTAGAAAAGGCCGCGGATTTAAATTTTACAAATGTTATTCGACTGCAAGTGGTTATCGGGATTCAAATCTGACTTGACCCGACGGTGGTTGCAATTAACCCGCCGATCCTGTCCAACACTAGTCACGGTTTTTTCGATATGGGTTTTTCGCCAGTGACGCGAACTGCTAATGAAAACGCTTGCCGACAACGATTTAATTTTTGACTTCCTACAGAAAATAATTCAATCACTTCATCACCTCTAATATAACGATGAAAACTCTGATTGTTGTAGCTCGGATTTCAATCAGTTCGGATTTCAGTCAGTCTCAGACAATTGAGACGGTCTCTTCATCAGCGTTTTTCAAATTCACCGTTTCAACTTTGGCGAACTCTCATGTACAAACGTAGAAAACAATACTTTGCGTCTGAATAAACTTTTTAAAAAAATCTCAAATTTTTCTGGTTTACTTTCAATTCGTCGATTGATGTTTTTCTAAAGCTGTCTAATTTAACAGGAAAAAGGGATTCCAGTGAAGGGTATTGCTATTGGTGATTGGACTCATTATCCGAGTTTGTATGTTTGGGCTTTTTTGAACTTTAGGTGGGTCTTACTGCCGCAGTTAACGCACAATTTTTCTCTAGCAGGACATTTTTAGGGATAACTTTTTTGAATAGTTTACCGGAGTTTGTACACTTTTGAGTTTTTGATATTTTGAGGGTTGGTTTTTTTTTTCATTTTAACTTAGTTTTGGGAAACTTGCATTGGTAGTTTTCACCTACTGTTGGTGAATTCTGTGTTTTTGTTATTTAAAAGTACGTACGCTTACATGTTTTCCAGGGTTGAAAAATCTGTCAGATTCTCTTCTGTGGCTCTACAACTCTCATGCTAGTTGAGAAAGTGTTTCTCACTAATCTGCCTTTAAATATCCGAGACAAAAATTTTTTGCTAGCTCCGTAAGAGTTTCGTCAACAATTTTAGAGCTACATGTTTTTAAAACAAAATATTTAAAACGTTCATTTGTGAGATTTGTCCCTGTAGCAACAATAGTTTCCAGTAAGTGACAGACTTCGGCAAATTTGATGCCGAGAATTTTTTCCTGTGTTCTTGGGCCCAAACATTTTTGTATATCTTTGTCTAAGGCTGAGTAGAGCTGAGGTTTCAGCTTTTCATCAACAATTCCAACCTGAAGTCCATTGATTTTAGAAATATCTCCTTGTCTACCTCTCTTCACTTCTTCGGTATAGTTGGTTTGTGGTGCTTTATATCTCTCGCTTCTCTATTTCGCTGTGCAGCATCTTTGTTTTCTACCGGTTGCTCAGGGATCGGAAATTGTAATTGATGGTGATCTTTTGGGTTGATGACATCATCTATGTCTACTGAGTCTTTCTCTATAATTGTCAGATGTAACCTTTCTATCCATTTTTCCCAGTTGGTATATTTCGTTAGTCGAGTTGTTCAAAAAACTTTCCAGGTCCTCTTATGTTTGATTCATTCGGCTGCGCCATGTAAAAAAAATACTGTATAAGGTACCAGTTAGACAACATGGAAAAAGGGATATTTAAAGGACGCGCATTTAAAAGATACTAATTACGCTAATCTAATTGTAAAAATTAGGACTATAACAAAGTTAAAAGATTAATTGAAATAACCAACTGATTGTTATGATCAGAAATAGTTAACAAATGAGCAGCTATGTTCCAAATCTATACTTTTAAGTGGCAGAGTTGCTTAACGGTAATATTAAATTACCACTATTTCACAGATGGAATTCTTGCCGCTCCAGACACCAATTAACAGCGCTAGTAGTATATGTTGTGGTTGAAGTGGGGGGGGGTAGTTGGGTGAACCCCATGTAATAAGATAGGGAATAGATCATCCGGTCATCCAGCTATGTATTAAGATTGGGTATAGAGTCTACACTGTATTAATTTAAGATAGAGATAACCAATGGTAAGGTTTTAAGGTTTGTGTGATGGTAAAATAATGGTAAGAAAAACGACTTTTTTTGGATTTTGTGTTGAAATGTCTGGTTTTTTCGCAAAATTTCCGGCGCCCGTTATCTAATTGTTAGTTATCAAAGGTTGATTATGTGTAGGTTTTGTAATGAAGGTTATGTAATTAGTTTTTGTTTCATGTTAAAGTAGTGGTAAGAGTTTTTGGGAAAAAACTTGGAGTTTTTGTCATAAAAACTGAAAAATTTTCAAAAAAAACTTCAAAACACAATAAGATTTGTTACAATTCGATC